GACACTGACCACCAGGACAGACGTCCGTCTCCCCCACTGACTCTGTGTCTCCTCTGTCCTATGTGACGACACTGACCACCAGGACGGACGTCCGTCTCCCACCTGACTCTGTGTCTCCTCTGTCCAGTGTGAGGACACTGACCACCAGGACAGACGTCCATCTCCCACCTCACTCCGCCAAGCCACATCCACAGGCCACCACCATCTGGTCCCTTCGGTTGGCATCTTGAGGGAGCCGTAGCCCAGAGACAGGAATCTGCAGACTTACAGTCAATTTTCCAAGGGTCTCCCTGGCCATGTGCGGCCACTTTCCCAGGGCAGCCCTTGGGGTGATCTGCCTTTCTGTTTCAGTCCTTCCTTTCCTCTGAGACTTGCTAGCTTTTGTTACTCTGTCAACATCAAGGCCTCAGCTCCCTTGGGACACTGGGACATCCTGTTCCCTTGCCCAGTCTGAGAATCTGTCCCAAACAACTCTCACTGGGTTCTTTACATCTGTCGAAACTCAGCTGACCTGCACAGAAGCAAGTTTAACCTTTGGGGCCTGCAGACATCTTTGACGCCTACGGGGGGCGCTGAGTCCATGTCCCTGACACGTTGTGTGTGTACTGTGTATATGGTGTGTGTGTGAGCGTGCGGGGTGTGTGTGTGTGTGTGTCGTGTGTGTATACGGTGTGTGTGTATGGTATGTGGTGTCCACACACACCGTATACACACACAGCACCCACGCCCCAGCCGGGGGACTGAAGTCTTGTGTCATCCAGTGCAGCTCTCCGGTACAGACCGATGTGCCCACGGTCTGTGCCTGTCGCGCTGTGGCCCCACACTGAGACAAGTCGCTCCGTGAGCCGCTTTTAGAATGTAAAAGGAAACGTGTTCTGTTAGGATTTTATATGTATGTATGTCTGAAACAAACAAACCAGGAATCCCTTCTGTCTGGGAATGTGCTTCAGCTCCTCCATCCAGCGCTGCAGAATCAGGACGAGGGTCCTCCCAGTCCCCAGCCCCAGAGGTGCTTTTTAGGCAGAAAGCCTGCGTGGGCACAGCGAGTCCCACCACGTCCTTCCGAAACGCCTCTCGGGGGTCGCGGGCTGGGGGAGCGGCCCAGCCCGGGCAGGGTGCCAGGGGACAGTGACAGGGCCCCGCTGCGCCCCAGTGCCTGCAGAGAGCAAGTGCAGAGTCACATAGGAAATGCGCCACAGGCTTCCTCCGCACCTCAGCTGGTCTCCGCGGCAGTTGCTGCTCCTCGAGGAAGACGCTGAAGGTGCGTTGGGAGGCCTCGAGCCAGCGGGCGTGATGCCACCTTTGCAACCTGCTACAGAGGCTTAGCGCTCCTTGGGACAGGACCGTTTGCTGACCGGGGTGATCCCGAGGCAGGCGCACCTCCTGGGCGTGCAGAACTGCTGCTCTCGTGCTCCAGGGAGGAGGCAGCCGTCAGACACGCTCCCGAGCCCATGGCCCTAGGGCTCTCAAAGCCGCCACCTCAGCTGCTGCTACAGGTGAGCGGGCTCCCTGTCCTTGTGGGCGTTGTGCCAGGTGTGCATGGAATGAGCGTGTGGGATGGTGGAAAATGAGGACCAGGGGCAGGCAGAACCGTAAGGAAGGCCGTGCAGAGCCACCTAGCAGGGACACGTCCCCGAGTCCCAGCTGAAGAACATGCCGTCTTTAAATCTGTGCAGGACAATGCGTGTCCCAGGGGCCAACCCCAGAGGGACAGGGGCTGAGACGGGGGCATGGGACATAAGGGCAGCAGGCAGACCTCCACGTGCATCACTGCACTGGTTCCCTTAGAAGCCTGCTGTCATTCTTGTTGTTCTTGTGTGCCATCAGATCAATTCCAACTCATAGCAACCCCATGTGACAGAGCAGAACTACCCCACAGGGTTTCCTAGGCTGTAATCTTAACTGCAACAGATTGCCGGGTCTTTCTCCTGCAGAGCCACTGGGTGATTTCGAACAGCCAACCTTTTGGTTAGCAGCCAAGTGCTTAACCATTGCGCCACCAGGGCTCCTAGGCCGTGCTGTATTTTCCAGTCTGCCCCGGGAGGGTCTTGGGATGTGCTGAGCCCCGCAGAACAGGGTGCCAGCTCAGAGCTCCAGGGTGCAAACGCCAGGCGTCTACCAGGACCGGGTCGCACTAGCTGAAGCAGAGCCGCAGGCACGTGTGTTTCTGTTCCTAAATCGCAGAGGGGGCTTTCTTGCGTTTGTCTGTTTGTTAGACATGTCGGATCAGTGTCAGGACTTCAAACACGCTGAGGGCTGGCAGGGAGGTGAAGCCAGGAAACCGGTGAATTCCGTCCAAACGCTTGCCTTGCCGGAAGCCCCGTATTCCTGGTGGGCCCAAGGTGAAGCGGACCAGCGTGGCTTTGATGCACTTTCTCCCCATTTAATTGGACAAGCATGGGCAGCCGTTGGGATATGTTTTCTTTTACAAAGTTTTCCAGTTTGGAAACGTGGTGTTTTCATCTGAGCTTTGCCCGATAGAGACGCAGACAGGTTACGGAGGTTTGGAAAGAGAGGAGTAGCTCCTAGCTTGTTGTGCCAGAATCCTGGTGTCCTCCACCAAGAAGAGCAATAGACACCAGAAGTCAGAACAAAGACGTGGGTGGCCACCAAGACCGTGTCTGGAAAGTGTGCTGTTGTTCTTTCTAGTGTCTTCTGCAGTATCCCTACCGGGAAGTCGATCCACACTAACGGACGGAGGGAAAAAGGACAGACAGAGGGACAAACTGAACCTCTCAAAGGCCCTGGGCAGAGCTGGGTCCACCCTGGGAATCCCTAGGACACTGTCCACCCAGACCTGAGTTCCGCGTTTTGATCTCAGGGACCAGGGGCAGAAAGGATGACTTAGTAGTGGGTTGGCTTATGAAAAACCAAAACCAAATGTGTTGGCTGTTGACTCGATTCTGACTCATAGCGACCCTATAGGACAGGGTAGAACTGCCCCCAGAGGGTTTCCAAGGAGGAGCTGGTGGATTCCAACTGCCAGCCTTCTGGTTGGCCCATGCGAGCAGGTAGTGTCAACAACCACTACCAGAGGGTACCTCTGGGCAGACAGGTGACACCCGCTGCACCCCAGGAATCCCAAGGACCACCCCCAAGCAGACCTGAGTTTTGTGTTTCTCTTAGGGAACGGGGAGGAAAGGATGGGTTGCTATTCTTGTTAGTTGCCATGGAGTCAACCCCGACTCATGGCGACCCCAAGTGTGTCAGAATAGAACTGTGCTCTGTAGGGTTTTCAATGGCTAATTTTTCAGAAGGAGATGGCCAGGCCTTTCTTCCAAGGCACTTCTGGGTGGATTTGAACCTCTGACCATTCTGTTAGCAGCCAAGTGTATTAACTGCACCACCCAGGAACTCCAGACAGTTGGCGCCCCAGCTCACGGCGACCTCAAGTGTGTCAGAGTACAACTGTGCTCCATATGGTTTTCATTGGCTGATTTTTTTTGGAAGGAGATCACCAGGCTTTTCTTCTGAGGTACCTCTGGGTGGACTCGAACCTCCAACCTTTCAATTAGCAGCCAAGTGCTTCCCAAATCAAAACCAAACCTATTGCCGTCGAGCCAGTTCCAACTCATAGGATCCTATAGGACAGAGAAGAACTCCCCCAGAGGGTTTCCAAGGAGCAGCTGGTGGATTCAAACTGCCGACCGCCAGGGCTCCGAGTGTTACCCAAGAACTCCTTAAGTGATGGGTTAGTAGTAGGTCAGCCTGTGAGGGTGGATAACATCAACAACTACCATCTGGGACGCCTCTGGGTGGACAGGTAAAGGGACAGGTGAGCCCCCCATCCCCCAGGGATGCCACCATTACCCCTCACCCTTCTATCTGGGCCCTGGCTGGACATGACCTCCAGGGCAGCAAGGGCAGGTCGGACGCCCACCCTCCCCCCGACATCCCCTTTCTGTCCCCAGAGACATTGGGTGGGGTGGAGGTGGAGCCTGAACCCTCTCCGGCCCCTACATCAGGGAAGAGGATTGTCCTGGGCCACGGAGAGATGGCCCGTGCCTGCCGGCGACCCTCCCTGCCCCACCCCAGAGCCAAGGAACACTGGGGCACAGGTGACCCTGCAGAGCAACGCCAAGAGGGGTCATCCCTGGGCTCCCGGGGGTCCAGGTGGGTGAGGCTGAACACTAGGAACAAGCAGGCCGTGCAGCGGCATCCACACTCCCAGACAGACAGACAGACAGAAGCAAGGTCTTGATTCTGTTAGGGCAGGAGGGAAGCCAGCCACTGTGCAGGCTTCTATCTAAAGGGGCTGGGGCCACAACGGGGCACCCTGCTTCCCCCACCCTCAGCCCCTCAGCCCCCACCCCACTTCTGTGCCTGCCGTTCTGCTCCGGACAGAAGTACAGGATGGTGGAGGGGCGGAGCTGTCCCTGGTGGCACAAACGGGGAACACACTCGGCTGCTAACCGAAAGATTGGAGGTTCCAGTCCACCCAGAGGTGCCTCGGAAGAAAGGCCTGGCGATTTCCTTCCAAAAACTCAGCCGTTGAAAACCCTAAGGAGTACAGTTCTACTCTGACACACATGGGGGCGCCATGAGTCAGTCGACTTGATGGCAACTGGTTTAGGAGTCCCTGGGTGTTGCAAACGGTTAACGCACTCGGCGACTAACCGAAAGGTTGGAATTTCGAGTCCACCCAGAGGCTCCTTGGAAGAAAGGCCTGGCAACCTACTTCCGAAAAATCAGTCACTGAAAACCCTATGGAGTGCGGTTCTACTCGGACACACGTGCGGTCGCCATGAGTCGGGGTGGAATTGATGGCAACTGGTAGAAGGGGTAGATTGGGTCCGGAGTTCAGAGCTGACTCCACTAGGCTGCACCATCACGGGCAAGAAGTTCGCACGGCCCTGGTCTCGGATTCCTCGTCTGTATGATGTCCCGAGTAGAAGGGTTTGTTGGAATCGATGCTGTGAGCCCACATTCCTGGTGCACACCTATGTACGTGGATCTGCACCCTACGTGTGATTGTCTGATTCAAACCTAGCCATGCAGTGGATGTCCCTACTTGACGGGTGGGGAAACTGAGGCTAAAGAGCAAAGGCACTCACCTAAGCATGCCGAGCTGGTCACAGTCTGAGTGGGGATTTGAATCCAGGTGTTTGGCTTCTGGTGTCTCATGCTGAGACACAGGGTTTCTGAGCCTCAGCACTATGGATACTTGGGGCTGGATCATTCCGTGGTGGGGACTATCCTGTGCCCTGTAGGGTGGGAAGCAGCATCCCTGGTCTGCACCCACCAGATGCCAGCAGCTCCCTCCACCCCAGCTGTGACAGCCAAACACGTCTCCAGACATGACCAGTGTTCCCTGGAGGGGCAGAATCAGCCCTGGTTGAGAATCACTGCAATAGATGGATGGGTGGGTGGGTAGGTGGATAGATGATAGATAGATGGACAGATAGATATAGACAGATAGATTGATAACGGATAGATAGACAGATATATTGATAGACAGACAAACAGATAATACATGATAGATTTATGATGGATGGATGATGGATAGATTGATGGATGGATGGATGATGGATGGATGGATGGATGGATGGACAGACGGACGGACAGAAGGATGGATGGATGGATGATGGGTCGGCGAATGGATGGATGGACAGATGGACAGATAGATGGATGGATGATAGGCAGGCTTTTGGAGCCTTCTTGCATAACCCCAGCACCAGGCTGCCTGCCTGCCTCATCTCTTCTGTATGAACAGTAGCCTACACCATCCCTGGATGCTGTGGACCATGGCCACCACCTCCCAAGGCCCCTCCTCCTGTGAGCCCTGGTGTGCTGACCAACATCCGCTAGGCTCTCCTGGCTCTCACATGTCACCACGCTCCTTCTAATCCAAAGACGAGTACCGTCGGGATTCCCTGATCCTCATAGCTTCCCTTGCACATTTAAAGATGTCTGAAAGATGTTCTTTAAGGCGATTGAAAGACTTGGTGTGCCAGTGGGGCGCGTGGGTGGTCCCATGCGGGAGGTAGGTGTATTCAGCCCCAGGAAGTTGCCTGCCCGAGGCGTTCCGGCACCTCCTGGCAGCTCCTGGGCTGGGAGCATTTCTGCAACCTATGCCTTGTTTGCAGCACTCAGGATGGGAACATTGCATGTTAAAGATAAGGAAACTGAAGCTCAGGGAGGTCAGGGGTCTCTTAGGGGCCAGCTGCTCAGCGGAGGGTCTGGTTCCATCAGGGATTCCCCAATATCAACCATGTGTTACTATCCCACTCGTAAGAAATGTCCAGGACAGGCCAATCCAGAGAGACAGAAAGTGGATTAGTGGTTGCCTAGGGCTTGAGACTGGGAAATGGGGGCTGAGTGCTAATGGATAAGGAGTTTCCTTTCTGAGTGACGAGAATGTTCTGGATCTAGATAGAGCCAGTAGTTTACAACATTGTGGATGTATTAATGCCACTGAATCCTACACTCTAAAATGGTAGATTTTATGAGAATGTTACTCCAATTAAAAAAAAAAAAAAAGAGTAACCATGTGTGA